CCTCTCTAACCTATGCCCTGAACCCAGATGTCTTCCCCTTCCCTTAAAAGCAAATGTGCCTCTGAATTTTGTGCTTAGCTCACCCCTTTTGTTTTTGCAATCTAAAATTTTCTGTATGAGGTCTTATCCTCCTCTGTGGCTTCAATCACCATGCATCAGAAAAAACACCGCAAATGCAACATATTAAAATAATCTCTCTCCGGGGCGCTTGGGTGGCTTAGTTGGTTAAGCGTCCGACTTTCGCTTAGGTCATGATCTCGCGGTTCGTGGGTTCGAGCCCCACATCAGGCTCTGTGCTGACTGCCAGCTCAGAGCCTGGAGCCTGTTTCGGAGTCTGTGACTCCCTCTCTCTCTGACCCTCCCCTGCTTATGCTGTCTCTCTCTCTCTCTCTCTCCTAGAAATAAATTTAAAAAAAAAACATTAAAAAAATTTAAAAATAATCTCTCTCCCTTCCCTTTCCAATCTGCTTCTCCTTTCACATGGTTTCAAATGTTATCTGTCTATTTGCTTAAGCCAGAAACTCTACCATCCTCTCTCACATCCCCCATATCTAATCCATCTGATTATATTTACTTTTCTTTTTTATGTTTATTTATTTTTCAGAGAGAGAGAGAGCGCCAGGCAGAGAGACAGGCACTGAATCTGAAGCAGTCTCCAGGCTCCAACCTGTCAGCAAAGAGTCTGACTCAGGGCTCAAACTGATGAACCTTGAGATCCAAAGTTGGACACTTAACCGACTGAACCACCCAGGCACCTCAATTCACTTTGCTTTCTAAATACAACTTGATCCATTCTCTCCTGGATCCCATTACCCTAACTGCATATCCTAGCCTCCAAATTTGCTCTGCCTCATCTCTAAGCCATTTGGAGTTAGTGCAAATCTCGTCTATGCATTGTATCATCCCCAATGTGTTATTTTTAAGCTCACTATTGCCAGGTTAATTTCAAACTTAGAAACATGGCTTTTAAAGATTTCCACAAAATCACTCTTTGCCTACCTCTTCAGCTACATCTCTAGCTATTCTTCACCTCAAACGTTAGACCGAGTATTCCTACTACTAGTTCTCATAGCACCCTGTACCTCTCTATGGTAGTACTTGCAACACTGTTTTGTAATTGCCTGCTTACTTATTTGCCTGACTAGACAGTAAACTCTGTCAGGACAAGGACTGTATTTATGTTAACACTGAACCCAACACTTGGCAGTGTATGGCTGACAGTAATCACTCAAGTTTATTTTTCAAATAAATATCCTGGACCAATGCTTTTCACATTTAAAACATGTTCAGACACCTGTATTTTTAAAATATTGTTTTATATTTATTTTGAGAGATAGAGAGCATGCAGGAGAGGGACAGAGTGAGAAAAAGAGACAGAATCCCAAGCAGATTCCACGCTGTCAGTGCAGAGCCCTATGGGGAGCCCTGAGATCATGACCTGAGCTGACACCAAGAACTCCACGCTGAACCGACTGAGCCACTGAAGTACTTCTACCCAGGAGCCCCCAATTAAAAAAAAAAAAAAAATCGCCTTCGAGGCGCCTGGGTGGCTTAGTTGGTTAAGTGTCCGACTTTCGCTTAGGTCATGATCTCGCGGTTCGTGGGTTCGAGCCCCGCGTCGGGCTCTGTGCTGACTGCCAGCTCAGAGCCTGGAGCCTGTTTCAGAGTCTGTTACTCCCTCTCTCTCTGACCCTCCCCTGCTCACGCTGTCTCTCTCTCTCTGCTAGAAATAAATAAAACATTTTTTAAAAAAATCGTCTTTTTTTTTTTAATGTAATCTCTCCACCCAATGTGAGGCACGGATTCACGACCCCAAGATCAAGAGTCACATTCTCTTTGGATTCAGCTAGCCAGGGGCCCCATGTTCGGCCACCTTTTATAGGCAAAACAATTTAGACTCCCTGAAGTATTTAACCGGGAGTCTTCAATCCCATTATGAAAACAAGATTTCAAAACCAAAGGTCTTTTGAGTTTCGCCTTTATAACTGGTGAAGATTTTTTTTTTTTTAGGATATAATAGCAATGAAACCCAAATTTTAAAGCAAATAAGGAAATCATTTTTGGTAAACACTGCTCTCGTCCCAGGTATTGTACTACTTATAGTTTATTAAGTCGCTGGGCTTCCACTTATCTGTGGGCCTTCTTAGCACGCATGCTCCACTAAGAGTTTCTTTGAATGGTTTCCCCAGGCCTCCCACCGCAACACACACAATTAAGATGACAAGAAACATGCCCATACCAGGAGTGCAGATACAGTGGCTCCGGTTGGTGCAAACCGCGGAGACCCGGAGAAGACGCAGAACTCTACAGTGAAGCGCTGAGCAGAGAAATAACGCGCCTCTCACGCAGCTAAGCCTGTCGGTTCACTTAGTTTCCGTCCCTGCGGGATGACCCGCAGCCGGAAATCCCTCCCTCTCTTCTCGGCGCTTCTCTATGACGTCCCGCCGCAAGGGGAAAGCTTTCTGGAGTGAAAAAAAGCGCGGTCGTTGAGAGGGCTGATAGCCGGCTTTGGGGCCGTGCCCACGACCCTCTTCACAGGGTGTGCTTGTAGCTGGTTTTATTCTATGACACAACTATTTAAAAAATTTTTATTTTCCTCCTTATTCTCTTTTTGGTCCCGTGTTTATGAGCATTTACTCGCATGGTGTTAAAATGTTTTCACAAGTCGAACTCAACTTTAAACTGATATGAAACTTTGTGCCTAGTTTATCACCATTACCTGGAACAATGCTTGGCGTGTGGTAGGCAACACTAACTCTCTTACTCGCCTTACCTCATTTGTTAAATTTAATGTGAAAATGAAATTAAGCCACATAGTGCAAATTATTGGCCTTCAGGTCAAACTCCAGTCTGTAGGTGTTTTGTTTAGCCAGCACATTTTCAAGTATTTTAATTCAGTTGTCATTATTAAATCATAAGGCACAACATCAAACATTGGGGAAAAGGACAGTCTCTTTCAAAGAATAGTGCTAAAGTTGGACCCTTAAAACCATATAAAAATAAAATGGATCAAAGACTCCAACATAAAAGTGAAAACTGTAAAACTCTTAGAAGGAAACATAGGGAGAAAACTTAATGACATTGGATTTGGTGATGTTTTCTTAGATGACCCCAAAAGCACAGGCAACAAAAGAAAAAACTGACATTTTGGACTTAACCAAAATTTAAAACTTCTGTATATCAAAAGATACTATTGAAAGTTATAGATTTGGAATGTATTTAAGAGGTAAAATGATAGAATTTGGCGACTGATGGGGATTTGGGGCCAAAAGGAAGAAGAAGCCAATATTCTAGTTTGAGCACCAGGGTAGACATGACTAGTAGTGCAGCAAATGGGGAAAAGGAGTGGATGGGGTGAGGGCAGAGACAGTGTGAGCATTTTTAGACCTAATGACTGAGCTCCATTCAAAATCAGATGTCTCCTTTACAGTATGGCAGTTGGCTGCATGGGTCTAGGGTTAAGGAGAAAGAGAATGGACCAAAGGCAGAGATTTGAGATCTTCGAAAGAGGCTTCAAAACCAGTCTGTGAAACTATATGGGTGGAAAAGATTACCCAGTGTCTGAGTAGAAAGGAAGAGTAAACAAAGGAGACTGAAAATGAGCAGCTAGAGAGATAGGAAGAAAATAATAAGAATATGACAGAAGCCAAGGGAAGAGTGGTTTAAGGAAGAGGGACCTAATGGGTTTCAAATGGGTCAGCTGGGTCAAATGCTGCCTATACATTATGTAGCACAGACTTAAAAGCATCTGTTGCATTGGAACCATATACTGAGGCTTGGAGGCTGAAGCCAGATGAGAGTGGGTAAGGAATGAGTGGATTATGAGAAAATGGAGTCAGGAAGCATAAATGTTTTAATGAAATTTGGCAGGGGTAATATACAATGGATTCAGTCCCAGGTGGGGCATCCAGGAAATTTGTGTTAATTATTATGGCTGTTATGTTGGGAGAAACTTGACCAACTGATAGGATTGAAAGCAAGAGAATTAGGAAAATAAAAGATAATGAGAAATGTGAACATCTTGAGAAGACTAAAAGAAGTGGTATTCAGAGGACAATTGGAGGGAATTGGTCTTGGATAGAAAGAGAAAATTCTACTTCTTCTATAACAGGAAGACAGGAAGAAATAGGGGGAGATAGAAGCCAATTTGTAGATGTGGCAGTTTACTTTGCATTTCCATTTCTGGAAATGGAATTAAGTCTCTTATTTTTAATTTGTATTTGTTTTTATATTATGTGGAAGACAACTGGAAGGATTGGTCTTGAGAGTGACATGCAATCCTTTCCTCACTACTGGACTTCTTTCTCACACCTCAAGACCTCTGCATATGCTATTTCTTTGCCTATGAATTTGTTTTCCCAACTGCTATCGTCCTTCAAACTAAGCATCATTTTCTCATGGTGGTATTACTGGGACCCCAAGGCTGTTAGTTCTCATACTAGCTGTTCCATGCACATTGTATTTCTGAGCACTCTTCACACTTGCAATTTGTTGTTCATTGTAAACTCCACAGGGATAAAGGCAATGTTGGCCTTGTTTGTGGGTGTCCTCAATACCTACTATTGATGGGTACATAGTAGACACTCAAATATTAGCTGAAGGTATGAATAAACACCTTAAATAAACTTAAACATAAGAATAAATTCAAATAGAAGAACATAAACATATAAAAATGGAGTTTATGACAAGTTTTATGTTCACTTATAATTTTATTATGGCATTAACAACAGAAATCAAAGACTAACTTAGTATTTAATTTCTTTTTTTTTAAATATTTTTATTTATTTCTAGGAGAGAGAGAGACAGCGTGAGCAGGGGAGGGTCAGAGAGAGAGGGAGTCACAGACTGAAACAGACTCCAGGCTCTGAGCGTCAGCACAGAGCCCGACGCGGGGCTCGAACCCAAGAACCGCGAGATCATGACCTAAGCAAAAGTCGGACGCTTAACCGACTAAGCCACTCAGGCGCCCCAACTTAGTATTTAATTTCTATTAACTACACTTTTAGTGTCATTCTATTAAACCACAAGAAAAAAAAAAACCACAAGAGAGCCCTTCAAAATATCCTCGAACTTGACGAATACTGTAAAATATTTATCATGGCATTGACGGATGCCCAGCTCATCAATAGGCTGCAAAAAAGAACATATTCACTTTTCCAAAAAAGTAACACATCAAACCTCAAGCCAGAATATAACAATGTGTATATTCTTTTCATTACATAATACTGTGAAATATTCTTTTTCTTCTACATCTACATTAGCAACATTTCAGTGGGAAAAAAAAATCTTAGGTGACAAAATAGTAAGCTAAGCACTTTGCTTTCTTTTTGTGGAGCTTCTAGTTACTATTGGCACTCGGGAAAAATTAATAGTTGTTTTGGCTTTCAAAGCTTTTTTAAAGTATTTAAAAATTGACTGAAGGCTAGAGGAAGGGGCTAAGTTGTGTTTTTCTGTACCAGCAGAAACCATAGGAAACTCCTGTTTTAAAACAGTAGCTGCAGGCTTATCCAAAGGCTTAGGGCTTGTCACCCATTCACGGCAGTGGTGTTTTATCCAGGCTAATAACTGAACATCACTTCCCAACTGGTGTCCTACATGATGTTCAGAGTCAATAAGTGCAACGGCATATACTTTGTTCATCACCTCCCACTTTCTACGAACAAGTAAGTCCATAAAAACTAAGCCTCCATAACCATGCACAATGAAGGCAACATCTTTGCCTTCAGTCTTTGAAATGAAGTAATCCCAAATGTAACCCATGTGTTCTTCAGGAGTGTTGCTGCATCGTTTAGGGATGCACTGGAGAGGTTGCTGGAGAGATAAAAAATTCTCTGCTGGAACCATTTTTAGGGAAGAGAACCCCTTATTTTGTGTTATAAGGCCTTTCCACTCTTTTTCCATGTTTAGGTCAATGAAATTGTCATTGGGGTTTAGCACAATTACGTCATAATGTGCCTGCAATGCCATTTGAATACACGGTATCTGACTTCCATGCTGGAGACCATGATGTATTATTGCCTGCTGACTCCACTGACCAGCTCTGAAGACTCCATGGTCTTGAAGAAGAACAAGAAGAACAGAATGATGACTTGTTAATGCTCTCTCACTCATGAAAAAGAAGCTTCTTGGTTCCTTATCAGCCTCTGGTGGGATATATACTTTTTGTAATTTGCATACTTTCTCCAAAAGCTGATAAATATATTGTTCAAGCAAATAGCCAAGGGCCTGGTAGCGCTTGCTATTCCTCTCAAAAACATTTTTATAATAGTTAAAGACAAAAGGCCTTTGTGTCTCAGTGTGTCTCAATTCAGCTTTTTCATTGAAGTCATATTTAAGTTCTTCTAGTAAGTTGGATTGTTCAATAAATTTTTGAAAGCTCAGCTCCCGAATAACTGGTAACCACTGAAAGTAAAAAGCAATAATATGTTAATGGTAGAAAAAAATTAAAATTCTGCTTGTTAAATTATTTCTGTGGGATATAATGCTAAAATTAAGTATTTCACTAATACATTACCCTTTTAATCTATGCTAAAGACTTTAACTCAAAATAATTGTGAATGATGCAAAGTAGTAAGACACAATGAAGCACGGGGCAATGGCCAGACCATATATAATGATGGAACTGACCCATAATCCATAGCAACTTGCCCAGGAAGCCAATCCCTTATCTACAATAAATAGCCCAGGAAGCCAGCCTGCTATAAATCTGACTTGGTAGGAAGTCAGACTACTACCACTAGTGACAATCCAGGAACCTAAACAATAATGTCTGTTACAACTGGCCACAAATGGCCAAGACTTGACTAATAACTGAGAGCTTCCCTAATTTTAATCCCTGCTTCCAACTTAAGACCCATGAGAGAAAGCCAAATACGCATCCCTAACCAATCACACAGGATACTCTTTCTAGTCAGCTCACCTGCAGCTTCCCCAGGCCAATAGCCTCCAATCAGGACATACCAACAGTCTTTCTTATTCCCCACTATAAAGTTTTCCACTTTTCTGCCTACCTTTGAGTCTCTGCCAAAATGCAAGTGATGGCGGTTGACTACTTTCATATAGTGAGCACAGAATAAATAGTATTTTTTTCTCATTTGGTTGGGCTTTATTTCCACAGTCAGCATTTAATAATTTTTGCAGTTAAAATAAATGATGGGGGGTGGCAGTGGGGGTGAAATGTGAACCAGGCAGTACAGGTTATGATCAATTTATCTTACAGTGGAAGATATGGTTATTCAGATGTCTGAGAAGAAAAAAGTAACTGACTAAAGAGTTAATTTAAACAGTTATTGTGGATGAACCCTAGAGGGAAAAGAAAAGACTTTGAAAGGTTAAGTGGCTTGCCCTGAAGATTATTCATTAAATTATTATTAAATAAGTGTTGGTTATTCAGGCTGTCTGACTCTAAAATTCATGTTCTTAACAAATACATGAATATGTTCTCTGCTGAATTTCTTAACACTGACACTGGCAATCCATGACCTACTTCCAATAAGTAGCACTGAAGATGATTTTTAGTTACACTCAAGGTACTATCAAGGCTTATGGCAAAATTACGATGGTGTTTGCTTGGTTTATTTTCTTAACTCTTTTCTCACTTTCTGAATCTTATTCTGATTCCCATATGTAATGGCTATTTTACAAAGGTGTTTGGTTGTCCAAACCACCCAGCCTATCTAGACTGTTCTCTATTCCCTCCTGTTCCATTAAAAAACTTTTTTTCTTCTTGTGTTGCTGATCACAGGTGCCATTATGTAATTAATGTCTTTTTTCCAAAGTGTAAATGACAGATAGACCTAATTATTCTTTAAAAGGAGAAGCCTCTTGGAGGGAAGGTGGGTGGGGGATGGGCAAAATGGGTGCTGGATACTAGGGAGGGCACTTGCTGTAATGAGCACTGGGTATTGTATGCCTAAATTCTACTCCTGAAACCAATATTACACTATATGTTAACTAACTAAAATTGAAAGAAAGAAAGAAAGAAAGAAAGAAAGAAAGAAAGAAAGAAAGAAAGAAAGAAAGAAAAAGAAAGAAGTCTCTTGAATTAGATTGATTTAGTTTTAAACCCTAGCTTCAAATTTTGAGGTCAAGGGACTTTCAGAAGGTTCTTACCTTCTATGAGTTTCTTCAACTTCTGAGCTTTACTTTATTTATGCTATTTAATAATGATCCTTACTACTCTCTATCTTGCTACTGTGCTTTATTTTTCTTCATAGTCTACATTACCACTTAATACATAATTGCTTGTATATATTTTTTTTTTTTTTATTTCTAGGAGAGAGAGAGAGAGAGAGCGTGAGCAGGGGAGGGTCAGAGAGAGAGGGAGTCACAGACTGAAACAGGCTCCAGGCTCTGAGCTGGCAGTCAGCACAGAGCCNCAGGCTCCAGGCTCTGAGCTGGCAGTCAGCACAGAGCCCGACGCGGGGCTCGAACCCACGAACCGCGAGTACATGACCTAAGCGAAAGTCGGACGCTCAACCGACTAAGCCACCCAGGCACCCCTTGCTTGTATATTTTTAAACTTTACATCTTCCTTCACTAGAATGAAAGCTCTAGGAGAAAAGGAATTTTATTTAACTACTATGTCTTCAGTATTTAGAATGCCCTCTGGCACATGTTATATAAATATTTTTTGAACAAATAAATGCAAAATAGGGATAACTTTATGCATTTCACAAGGCTGTTGTGAGAAATTAATGCATGTTGGTAAAAACCATATTACATAGTGTCTCACACATGGAAAGATCTGTGAAATTAGACAGGATGATATTCATTTTTGAGAAATGTGAAATAAAAAACCATATGTATCTCTTTCCAGCCTTCCTTATTCGCTTTAACATTGTGATATTTATCCATGTTAATAAATGTATTTCTACATCATTCATTTTGTATGTTTTTGGTATTCCATTTCTTGAATATACTATAGTTTAACTATCTTCCTGTTGAACGACACTTAGGTTTCTCTAATTTTCTACTATTATAAACAAAGCTGCAATGGACATTTTTATAGCTATATTTTTGTGCACATGTCAAAAATTTCCCTACGCAATATACTTGAAGGTGGAATTTCTAGGTTATATCAGCATCTTTCACTTCACCAGACATTGCCAAATTGTTCTCCAAAAAGGAAGGTCTATTTTTTAAATTGGTATGGATGACAAGGTTTGCACAGAAAAGGATTAGTCTCTCAGATCTAAAATACCCTGTTTAGGGGTTCTTGACTAGCTCAGTAGGAAGAATATGCGACTCTTGATATTGGTGCTGTGAGTTCGAGCCCCATGGAAGGGGTAGAGATTACTTAAATAAAAAATTACTGTTTATTCAGATGCTGGTCTGAAAACTACCTTTTCATGTACTGAGATACAGTATATTTAAAACTCAAAGAACTAAGCAAAGAATCTTGTTAGCTAACTGTTTAACATTTCTTTTAATCAGAGAGTAAAATAAACAAAATCAGCACTTTCCTTTTTTTACATCAGTATTTTCTAATAGCACATAGCACAACATTTAATTATCTTTTCCACTTTTGTTCAGTGTTTGTACTTGGTTGTTGAGACGCTTCTCAGGGCTAAAGAACGAAGAGTTTGCAAACTAGAAAAGCAAAATGGCACATAGATATATAAAGGACAGGTGGAGATGGGATGGATAGGAGCAAGGTAGAGAGTATCTTGCAGAATGAAAACCTAGATGATTCTTTAAAATTTATTCAGCACATTTTGCTTGGTTAATATGCTCCAACCTGAAACTCTCCTCTAAATTCATATCTAATTGTCTACTAGGTATATTTACTTAGTTGTCAAATAGCCATCTCAAGCTTAACATGCCCCAAATACCTCTTTCAATCTACTCTCTCTACTCCTTACTATCTTAGTACATGGCAACTTTATTCTTTCAGTGGCTCATGCTTCAAACATTCCTCCTCTCTTTTACACTCAAGCCAATCACTCTGTTATTTGTTTTTTTTTTAATTTTTAAAATTTATTTTAATTTTTTATTTCTTGAGAGGGAGTGTGTGTGCGTGCTAGGGAACGGGGGAGAGGGACAGGGAGAGAAAGAATCCTAAGCAGGCTTCATCTCAGGAACGTGAGCTCATGCTCTGAGCCGAAATCAAGAGTCAAATGTGATACTCAACAGGCTGAGCCACCCAGGCATCCCTAGGCTCTGTTATCTGAAATATATCTGTAATCTAATCACTAATCACCTTTCCACCTCTATCACCCAAGTTGAAGTCAACAACAACTCTCACCTACATTATCAAGTCTCCTATACAATCTCTTATTACCATGCAGTCTGTTCTCCACAGAGCAGCTAGAGTGATCTTTTCAAAATCTCTAAATTGATTCTCACACACCAGTTCAAAATTCTCAATGGTTTCCCCTCTTAGAATAAAAGATTAGGTCCTTATCACTGCCTGCAAGGCCCCACATGACCCTTAGCTCTTCAATGTCATTGCCTTACTTGCTTACTCATCTAGCTATATGATCTGTGTCATAGCTCTTTCTCAGGTGTCATTTCCCACTATGCTTTTGCCTACTTCACTCTAGCCACACCTTGCCTTTTTGCCTCCAACTGTGGAGCAAGCTCCTGTTTAAGGGAGCTCCTTGCTGTGCCCACAGGTTGGAACACTCTTCCTATAGACATTTCATTTCCTTCACATTTCTGTCCACTTGTTATCTGATCAGAGATCTGAGCATTCTATCTGAAAGGACAATTCTAATTCTTCCTCATTCACCTATCTATGCTTAGCTCCTTATCTTCCCTTCTCTTTTCTCACTCTCTCTACCTCTCTTTTTTAAAGCACTTATTCCCTACCAGCTGACATATATTTGCTTATTTTCTGCTCCCCCTGCCCCCCGCCAACCCATTAGAATATAAGTTCCATGAGAACAGAAACAAAGGCTTTGATTTGTTCACTACTATATCTCTAGTTCTTGGAATAATGCCTGGTGCATACTAGGCACTTAAATATTATTGTTAGAAATTTATGATTTTTGCTAAGGCATAAGGAAATAAAGAGCAAAAGACTTCTAGCTGCATATACAGGAGAAAAATGTACACAAAGCTCTCTAAAAGTTATAGAGGCTTCTTGTATAATTTTAAAGTTAATGCCAATTTATTAATCATTCTTAGAGAATATCCCCTATGCATTTACATGTTTTATCTTTTACAAATCAAGATGGTTCATTTAAGTAAAGGAGAGAAATTAAACTGTTTTTAGTTGTCTAAAGAATGATTTGGAATAAGATAGCTTTAGGAATAAGATTATTAGAGCTGCAAAAGATGTTATTGGTATTCATAGTTAATTTTTCTTTTACAGAGAAGTGAGGCTTTTAAAAGTAAAATGACATCCCAAAGTAACTACGGCAGCTCTAGGAGCCTGAGAGAAGATTGATATTTTACTGGTGATCTTCAAAGTGCATAAAATTTAACTTATTTCATTTATCTGCCAAAAGTTTAGTTAAGGTATTTGTTAGATACTTAGTGTCTTACATCAAGTATCCTAGTCATTTTACACTGAATGGAATAATGGAGAATAATATATAATCATTAATGAGAATTTCAGGGGCGCCTGGGTGGCTAAGTCAGGTTAAGCGTCCAACTTTGTCTCAGATCATGATCTTTCAGTTCATGAGTTGGAGCTCCCTGTTGGGCTCTGTGCTGACAGCTCAGTGCCTGGAGCCTGCTTTGAATTCTGTATCTCCCTCTCTCTCATTCTAGTAACCTGGATTAGGTGGTTGACACAGCTGTTATTTTTTGTTTCAGGGATGGCTATTGTTTTTAATTATTTATTTAAAAATTGTGATATAATATACTAAAATTTACCATTTTAGCCATTTTTTTTAGTTGTAGAGTTCACTGGCATTGAATAGATTCATATTGTTGCTCCACTGTTACTGTTATCCATCCACAGAACATTTTTCATCTTGCCAAAATCTAACTTTGTAGTCATTAAGGGATAACTACTCATTTCCCCATTGCCCCAGCCCTTAGCAAACCATTCTACTTTCTAGAAATTTGACAAGAGAGAAGGTGGGGCAATAGAATCACAGATGCACATAATTTTAATTAGCTTGATTTTAAGCAGCTCCTTTCCTCTCTAGGATTATCAAGTGGCTTTACTTAACAATATTTTACATTCTTCACAGGTAAACAGTAAGCTTTTATGAAAATATAATTTTACAAGAAGTTAGCATCTAAAACCCTTGTTACTCAGAATACCTTATTACAGTGATTATAGTCCTTTGGTATACTTAGGAGGTCTTTTGTATATCCTATGTCATTAGGAAGCACAGAATGAAGGATGCTTCCTATAAAGAAAATTTAGGACTATCTAAATGCTTTTTATTACAATGGCTATGATTTTCTTTCTTTCTTTATTTAGAAAAACAAAATAAAGAATCCTAGAAAACATATCCTAAGAAAATAATTACTATTTTGGTACAAAAACAGCATTATTATTCTCAACACAGAATGCAATTATGAAGTTATTTTTTACTACAATTATGCTTGTATACAATTTCATTTAGTAAATTACAGAAAATATTAGAAATGATAAAGCTAATGAAATAACATATGTGGAAGATTCAAAAAAAGCTAACTAAATCCCTTCCTTCTAGGATTCCTTCTCCCTACCTACCTCTCCCCAGGAAAGACTAAAATGGCTAAATTTAATCTAGCTGAGGTAAAGAAATAGAACTAGAATATTAGAAAGAAAAATTGAATAGAAATAGAATATTAGAAATAGAAAGAAAAACATTTGATGTCACCAAATTTTGGGTTTTTCAAATTTAAGGATGCAGAATTTTCTAGGAAAGTTAAAAAATAAAAAGTTTAGTCAACTATTACAAAGAGAAACATCCTGTAACCACTGATGGCTGGTGTTGTCAGCCATCTCTAAAGAGCCTTCCAATGCTTCTCTCTCTCTCCTAAAGTAACCACTCTGCCATTTTATAGAGATCAGTGCTTTGCATTTCTTTATGGTTTTATCTTCTAAGTGTACAGACCTAGAAATCATAGTTCAGTTTTATAGTTAAAAAAAAAGATTTAAAAGGTCTGAAGTAGGACTTGGAAGGTAGGTAGTTTAAGAAAAAATGCTCCCAAATTATTCTGAAAACTAGATTTTTGGATTTACCTACTTTGTCCAGTTCTAGACCCCACATTTCGTGTTTCTTGATTTGGATTATTCCAGAGGTAAGCGGGTACCAAAAGTTAAAGGCTAAAGAAGATGAGACTACCTAAAGCCTCAGTTTTACTAACAATAAAAACTGACATTTTTCTCTTGAAACTATCAAATGTATTAAGGCACAGAAATGCTAAATAAATAAACCTAACATTTTAAAATAGGACACTTCAAAGAAGTTAGTGGTAAATGTACAAGATAACCTTGGGCTTGGCCCCAGGGCCAAATGACAGTTTGGATCTTAGGTTAAAGGTTTGTGCACAGATTCCTTCTATTGCTTTTTGGACAAAACATTATCCACCTACCACTCAAATACCTAGAGTTACTGCAGGTTTTCATGACTTGTGGAAACAGGCTGTTCCACTGCAGGGCAATTACAGTTTCTTATTTTATTTTTTTTAAAGATATCTTTAAAACTAACTCAAAAAAGAAAAGATACCTTTAAAACCAAACAACCTTATGTATCTTTTCATGAATTACAGGTTACTTCACTTATATGTGGAAGAAAAACTTCACATAAGAATTCTTGGTATTTTATTTATTTATTTTTGAGAGACAGAGTGAGACAATGTGAGCAGGGGAGGGGCAGAGAGAAATGGAGACACAGAATCTGAAACAGGCTCCAGGCTCTGAGCTGTCAGCACAGAGGCTGATCCGGGGCTTGAATCCAAGAACCCGTGAGATCATGACCTGAGCTGAAGTCGGGTGCTTAACTGACTGAGCCACCCAAGTGCCCCAAGAATTCTTGGTATTTTAAAGGTAACAGTCAATTACTAATGAAAATAAAGCGAATAGCAACATAACACAATGCTCCATAGATCTTTGCAAACTCTAGATTTTCCTGGAGCCCATGGTAAGAAATTCCACATTGTTTCTTTTAGCTTTTAAAATAGGAAGTTCAGATGTCTACAGTGCCCACCTAAACCTCTTTACATTCATACTGTACTTCAAAGTTATTTCACTTGTGATGAGAAAGGGCCTTTTGCAGATTTTATTAAGCTCTCTTCAAAGAAACTGTTAATCCAGAGGTAAAATAAAGGGTTGATCAATTTCATACTGCCTGTCTTTAAACTATTAAAACTAAACCCACTGCATAGAACAAACATAAAAATATAATATGTAACTACTTTTAATGTACTTTTAACACTCAATAAAGAGTCGTACCCATTAGATAAAACCTGTCCATCGTCTCCTCTTATAAAATACCGGACTGATGAATTTCTAATCTCAAATAATTTTAATTTGAAAAGTTCTATGCAGTGTGAGTCAAATGTACATAAGCGAAATGACACTATCCCCAAACATACTAAGACAATCATTTACTTTTTTTGGTCTTTCTTATTTTTCAAGTAAGAAACTTCTCACCTGAGCATCACTTACTTTCATGAAAGGCAAAATGAGGTTGTTAAATGACTCTCTCTAAAGTAGAAACTGAATTTTTAGTCCTTTAGTTGTTCGCAGTGCAGTTAACTATGAGACAGAGATTAATGCTATAACAATAAAAATACTGAATTTGAAAAGCAAATTTGAAATTCCTGAGCTTAAAGTTCATTTATTTTCAAGTGCCATTTGAAACATGTTCCAATTCATAGAAACAAATTGGCTAAGTCTTCATTTGAAGGACTGGTATATTTATCTCAAGAAGTCTAAATGATCTATTTGCAAACGGAATAATTTAATTAACTTCTAATAATTCATTTCTTATAAGTTAACTTCTTACTACTAAAGTTTAAAACCACTTACTTTTATGGAAGCTGCTAATTTGGGTGGAAATAGATAAGGCCTACTTACACTTTCCTTTTTTATGTTCCCATCTCTCCGCTCTACTTCCATCTTTTGCAGTTAATTCGCTTCCTGCAATATTGGCAAATGAATTAAGCTGGTTTGATGCTGGGGTTAAATTGTTCAATTAAAAAAGTCGATTTATGAGGAAATTTAAAATTCAGATTTTTTTTTATCTGTAAGCAGTGTTTTGGTTTGTTAAACAGAAATAAACTAGGGCATCTAAATGAAACCCTTGTAGTGAATTTCAATCTTATCAAGCTCTGAAATATTCCTGCTATTCAACTATTCCTGCCCCGTAAAACGCTCTCCCAAGACCAAATAGGCTTTAACACCTGGAGGCTTACCTATACATCGGCTCACGTCACACAGTAGTTAAGAATGCTTGACTCCAGAAGCAGAAGACTGGGCTCTAGGGTGAGTTAGGTTAAGTCCCTTTATTGACCTTGGTAAAATGGGGAAAGGGGGATGGGATGATCAGCTGAAGTAGTTCCAGGATCCCTTCTGCTTGGAACATTCTAAGACCATTTTGCCTCTAATTATGTTTAAGCTGAATTATGTTTAACTTAATGTGATCACATCTTACACTTTTAAAAAATTACTCTAAAATTTCTATGGTGGCCAATAAAACAGGGTAATTTGCTAAACCCTTTGTAAGAACTGAAAAAGAAAAATCAGTCTAAAAATAGATGAAGTTCATTGAGGATTGGGCTAGTCCCTTAAGGACTTTAATAAAAGTTAGTTGAGAATTCCAGTTTACAGCTATCCACTTTCTATCACCTCAGCATTTTATGTTTTAAAATTTTGAGTTCTAGTTTACCTTTTTTCTTCTGGACCTTTAAAACTGACGAGTGTGAATTTTAAAAAGAGATTCTCTCCGTTATGACATTTTTTCCTCAGCTAACCAAATACATTTCCACTCCAAATGCTAAGCCAATATCTAGGCTAACAGGTGGATTTACCGTCTTTTAATTTCTGAGTTTGAGGACGCTCTGGGGGACAAGAATATGGGATAGACCGTGGAGTATTCCTTTTATTCTCATTTTTCTTGGCCACCCCGCGAGAGCCATTAAATTACAGGAATTCCTAAAGATTCCTCTCTTTCAATTTCCAGTCTTCAAGGTAAACAAGCCTCGGACGATCTCTGGCTAAAACCAGGCACACAACCTCACTTTCCGACAAGTGCGAAGTTAATAAGAATAGTACCACGAAATAAGCATTTCTCTGCGGCAACTCGCAGAGAAAACAAGTCCCAGGAAGTGATTTCCGGGTGAGGTGGGAGGGGCAGCTAATTTCCGGTCTGAGGGCAGGCGACGGCTCTTGCGCAAGCGCTGTTCGTACTTTCCTGGCTTTTTTTTTTCCACCCCCCTCCCTCTCCCCTCCCCCTCCCTTCCCCAGCCTGAGGGGTCTTGAGGTGACAGCGCCCGCAACTGCGACTCCAGCAGGAGGAAGGGAAGATGGACAAGGGGAAGGCCGGGCGACGTCGATCTTCATCCGGTGAGAAAGGGTCCGAGGAGGGCTGAGCATATTCTCTTCGAGCTTGGGCAGATGGGAGGTACAGGCGGCGACGGGTGCTGCGGCCCGGAGCTGTGAGGACTCCGGTTCTAGCTCCCGCTGGGGCTCGGGCTCCCGTTCGGGCGGGGAGGGCACGAGTGGAGGGGCGCGCACAATGGAAGACTCCCGGGTCGCCCCCGCCTCTGCGAGTCGACGACCAAGTTCTAGCTGTCATCAAAGCCCTGGCCGCTCTTCGCCCCAACACCCCTCCAGGTTTTCCGTCCTCCCCCGAACACCTTGCGTGAGTCTGTCTCATCGGCCCAGGGATCTTCCCGGTTGGCTTGCCGCTCCCCTGCCACGCCTTCCTCCAATTCCACCAATGTAGCAGTTTCACTTCCAGCCCCTGGCCCCACTTTCCCTCTGTTCCTTTGACTGTCGATTTGGCTTCCTTCTCACCCCCTTACCTCCGGGCAGGTAGCAGCGGCTGCAAAGAGGGAAAGGCGGGGCTTGCTAATTGACACTTCATCGCTCAGATAAATGCTGCAGCGGCTTTCGTTCTTCTGAACGGGCCCTCTGAATAACCTTTTTCTTTTCCAGCCTCCTGCTGCTTCTTCCAGAAGTGATTAAAAAGTCGAACAAAGGATTTGAAGCTGTGCTTCCATTGTGTTTTTATTCTCACTATATTTTTGTTTTTGAAATTGCTTTTGAAGCTTTTATGGCTTCAGTTTGGGGTACTACCTCTTGGAAACACAAAAGTGGAGTTTTAAGAGTTGAGGTGGAGCTTCTCCTAGTCCACAAGATTTTGTCAAAGATCTCCTCTAACTAAGAGTACCTCATTTCCTCATGTTAAGTAAGTCCTGTGGATGCACCAGAGGAGAAGAGGGGGAGGACTCTATTTTTAATAAGCTTACAGTTCAGTACACAAACGAACACCTAATGAAGCAGTTAATTCATCGTCTCCTTTCTTACTGTACCGTTTATTTTTGCAGAGGCGGTCTTAGCAATTACAAATTTATTAGGAGTCCCTTACGGCAGTGCATCTCACACATTTTTCTGCCTTATTTGCAAAGGAGAAGGGAACAGGATTTCTGGGACATTGCTTGAAGCAGTTCAAAACCTGAATCCCTTTTCATAAGCAACTATTGTGTGTGTGTGTGTGTGTGTGTGTGTGTGTGTGTATGTTTCCTAGAGATAGTCTTTGCCTTTGGAAGTATGTGTATTATATGTATGAAAGTACAGGCCTCCAATAGATCAGTGTTTGTTTTAATATACTTTTTTTTCTCCTCTAAGACCTTCATATAAAATTTACACATTAGGAAAATGCACATTGTTTATCTACTGTCATTTGTGTGCTTTCTAACAGAGCTTTAGGGATTATTCTTCAGCTTAAGAGGCACACACAGCCTTTTTTCAATAAGTGCATTTCATCTTGGCTTAATACATTTTTTTTCGAGTGGGAGCAGCAAGATATTAACCTTGTCCTTTAGCAAATCCCATCTCCTTTCACTTGTCACATTTATTTATTACATGATGCAAGTAGCTGTGGGAAGTAAAATTTGAAAACAAAGCTGTTATTTCATAAAAGATAATTGATATTTATATTACCTATCTGGAGGTGATTTTTTTCCCCCCTGATTTTCTTTCTGGAGCTGTCCTTTTTGAAAAATAATTGTTATTGAATAAAACCCATTCTGAAATCTAATATTACCTAGCTGTTCTTCAGTATTGATCTGGTTTTAAGAGATGAATATTAAGTTTTAAGAATGATTCAAAATAATGTATGTTTAATTTTCTCCACAAATTATTAGAAATAAAACTAATCAATTGGTTTGGAGGGATTCTGGATTCTGTGTGACATTTATACACATGTATTTATTTGCCATTTCATTAGGAGTGGTTGCTAACTTGAACTCATGACTGGAAGTGACGTTTGTGGTCATCAGAATTTCCTAAGTACCCAAAGAGAGGAATTTGATTAATAAAACAGGAAGAATTCTAAGTTAGAAGTAGCATGTGGATAGCAGCAGGGAAGAAAAACAATCATGATGTTTCAAAGTTTCTTCTGTGAGACTGCACTAGGTTTCACTAAACATTCTCCTAAGGAAGAAGAATTGCTTATAGCTTTTAGTTGCAAGTAGCACTCAATTCCAATTGGTTTAAGTTAAACACAAAACAAGTATTTATGGACTCCTGTAACTGATAACTTTAAGAGTGGTATGGTTTCCAGAATCTGCTTTAGGCACTGGTTCTTAGGGTGTGGTCTAGGGACCTCCGGGTTTCCTGAGACCCTTCTGAGTCTGTGAGGTCAAAACTGTTTTTGTAACAATTCTAAGACATTGTTTACCTTTTCCTCTTCTCCCACATGTATACAGTAGAGTTTACCAGAGGCTACATGACATGTTTTGCAACAAATTGAATGCAGAAGCAGATGGGGGAAAACAGTCATCTTTTATTAAGCCAGACATTAAAGAGATTTGCAAATAAGTAAAATAATCCCATTCTTTTCAGTATTAAAATTAAAAGAAAAATTATATAAGTAGAGGAATTGCAAAAGCTCTGATTACCTTACTTTTCTGTAATGTGACCATGAATCAGGAATTAAGGACGAAACACTTTTGAGCAGTGAGAGGAGAAATTACAAAGTCTTTATGCTAAAGTTTACTCATGGGAAATTTCTCAAGCTTTTCTTCAGAGTATATTGAACCTATATTTTAAAATTATTTGTAGTCTTAGCATGAATATCTTATTTCCAAGTTCACAACATATCAAAAGCAGTAAATTAAATGGAACACAGATAAAAAAAAATTACTGGTGCCAGAGATGGGTCCACTAACAACTGAATGAAATAATAATTAAATGCACAAGTCATTCAAGGGAGAATGACCATTAAGAAATGCTTAGTAACAACAAAAATTTAACAGATAAATTAGAGTCATAGATAACAATTTTCAAATGACTCTTTGATTTCAAACAGGAACGTTCAAGTGAATTTCAGGTTTTCGATGGATTGCTTCAGGCAACATCCAAGGAAATCTGTGTTCACTTTCCTTAAGTTAAGGGTACATATGTTTTTTTGAGTACTTCGGTACTAAGCGGTGTACTAAGAATTGTACAGACTTTACTTCTTTCAAAAACCCTGTGAGGAAACTGGATTTAGGGAGGGTAAGCAACTGTTAGCAATAGCAAGTAAGAAGCAGAGCCAGCATTCAAAATCTGGTCTGCTTACAAAATATATAATTTTAACTTCTTTTACTGTCACAGGGCTTTAGTGAGTCTTATTTGGAAAAAAGAAGTTTCTGTGGACAAATAAGTACGAGAGTTGTAATTACAAGAAAAATTTATTTATTGCAGGATTTTTAGAGCCTTTGTTATGCTATAGTACATTCAGCCTCTGCAAGAGAGTAGCTGAGGATGTGGTGTTATTCAAACTTGTTGGATTGTGAAATTCATCTCCCCCCAGTTTTATCGTGAGAATCTAGCATCCCATGATGATATCCTTTTATTTTTTTCAGTAGGCGCTGGTGCTGTCTGCATATTTTGCATTATAAGTATAATGAACCTTACTTGAAGGGCAAATTAGAATCTGCAGTTAATTGTGATAAAACTACATTATATGCATAGATGTTAGCTGAAGCCCTTGGCATGAATGGAATTACCCACTGAAGGTGTAGAGTGAAAAAAGTCTTGAATCACATACATTTAAATTCAAAGTAAAGACAAAGAGACATTGGTAGGCAGATAGGCAAAGTAGGAAACAAGATAGGTTTGGGAAACAAGGAGAGTGAAAGCAATGGAAATTACAGAGTTAAAATAGTATGAGGGTGGTGAATTTGGCAGTTAGGAGGACACTTTTACCACTCATTTTAGTAGGACATCAGCCAGATTCAAGAGGCTGAATGAAACAAGGAAAATGAAAGTAAAAAAAAAAAAAAGAGAGAGAGATTTCTGGAACAAGTTGGAGTAGGACATTAGGTAGAAAGGAATTTTTTAAAAATTCTAAGAGACTTAAATCAGATTGGCATGGAGTGGGAAAGGGGTCAGTGGAAAGAGAAAGATATTAAGTGGGAGGTAATTGATGGGGTGAGGTTTCAAAAGAAATGGGAGAGATTGGAATCAAAGTTTCTTGAGATGTGTGTGAAGGAGGGAAGATGGATAAAGATAGAAATAAATTTTGAGAAGTTAATGATATTACAGTCATGGCTTCTAAATGAAGCAAGGAAAGATCATCTTTTGGAAAATAAGAACTTTTAAGTGGTAATAGTAGCTCAAAATGGAGTAAGTGGTCAATTAGGGATGAATAAAAGAACTGTTAAGTAACTTTGAAAGTTTGTTAAAACAGGTGTTAGTTTTGGGGAGCCTGGGTGGCTCAGTAGTTTAAGCAGCTGACTTTGACTCATGTCATGATCCTGTCGGCCATGGATTTGAGCCCTGTGTCAGGTTCTGTGCACATAGCTCAGAACCTGGAGCCTGCTTCAGATTCTGTGTCCCTCTCTCTCTCTGCCCCTCCCCTGTTCACACACACTCTCTCTCAAAAATGAATAAACATTAAAAAAAAGTGATTTTTGTAGTTAATAGTAGTAGTATTTGTAGTTACTGTTATGTGACTTTCTTCAGAAGTGCTAAGAAGTCTAGGAGCAAGAATTTGGAAAAAAAAATTTTTATGAAGGGAGCTAATAACACAAGTTTTCAGATTTTTTCCCCAAGCTTATTTATTTTGAGAGAGAGAGAGAGATAATCCCAAGCAGGCTCCACACTGTCAGTGCAGATGTGGGGCTCAATCTCAAGAACTGTGTTGAAACCAAGAGTTGGACACTTAACTGAGCCACTCAGGTGCCCCTGAAAATGCTTTTGTAGAATATTCCTAATGTACCTCTCACCTTTTGCTTCATTTCCCTTCCCCTCGCCCACCTTCCCAATTATAAAAATCTATCTGGTCATATGGGTCACCTAGCATTTGTTGAACTCCTATTGGACTTTTGCCAGGGAATATCTTATTTAGTTCTTAGAGCCAAGTTTTCTTCTTTTTTCTATTGTCAACATACATAGGTTATTTAATGAAGGCATTTTGCTACTCTTTAGATTATTTTTTGACCTTTATGTTTAGTGCATTAGGTTCTATAAAATGTATCAATGTAAATTCTAATTCTAACAGGTTAATTTAAAACAAAGGATAGCTGTGAAAGGATTTATTTAATTACATTGTGTATTTCATTTAGATGTTAAATGATAATTTTTACCATGTCTTTGTAGAAATTGTCACAGAAGGAAAAAGGAAAAAGTCTTCATCTTCTGAGTTACATAAGGTATGCATTAGTTTTGGTTTTAATCTATTATCTTTAGAGTTACTAATATTGAAAGTTTTCTATTTATTTTTTAAACAATTTTAAAGAAAATATTATAAAAACTAATCAATGTTTTACAGGGAATGGTATACCCTGATCATTTTAAGGGTTAACCAAGAAAAGTTCTGGGATCTGTCTTGTTTAAATCATTGTGAGATGTATCAGTACAGTTTCCAGACCTTATTTTAGATTTTATATAAAACATAATCCAGCATTTCTTTGATAACTGAATATATTAGCTCACCTCACATTCATTCATTGTAATACTGTAGATACAGAAAAGTTGTGCTCAAGCCATGTGCTGAAAATTAGTATTTAAAATATTTCCTGTGAAATGTTTAAAAAAATTTATTTCTTTCTCTCATGTAAGCCAAGAGTAGCAAAAGAAGAAAATGAAGTTTCTACCTATGTAGGAAGTGTTTGAAAAATATAATTTATTTTTAGAAAAATGATCTTGTTTTCCTCTAGAATTTTGTGATATTTATTTATTTATTTAAGTTTATTCTGAGAGAGAGGGAGAGAGAATGCAAGTGGGGAGGGGCAGAGAGAGAGAGAGAGAGAGGAAGAGAGAGAATTCTAAGCAGGCTCTGTACTGTCAGTGCAAAGCCTGATGCAGGGCTGGAACCCATGAATCATGAGATCACAGCCTGAGCTGAAGTCCAACAGAGCCATCCAGGGCCCTTAGAATTTTGTGACTTAAACATAGTAGTACCCTGAAATACATTGTAATAATTTATTAGATACCTTTTTCTGAAGCATTCCAAATCATGCAGAGAGGACTTGTCATTTGACAGAGAGAACTTTAATTTGGTTTCGTGGAACAAAGAGGGAGAAGAAACCATAAAGACGGCTGTGAGAGAGAATCAAGAGCACACAGACCACATGACCAAATAGAGAGTATGGCTTTAGGTACTCTTCTGCCTTGGCTTACTTCACATTTGTGCGGTGTAGTTTCTTTACTTAAAATTCTGGATTTGGCTTCAGTGACATAAATGAAGGAGGATAAAAAGAAATTCTTACATTGCTACCATTCCCAATTTTAAATATCTCTGTACTGACTAATGCTACTTTTGTGTTTAATACGTCCAATGAAGTGAAATGCTCTGTTTTATTTAGGTTGTTGCTTCATGCAGTTGAATCTGAAAGTCCACCATTTGAAATTCATAGTATTGAGTAAATACATTTCTCTTATTTTTAGATGAACTGCCCTATTTTTTTACTTTTTATTTTGGAATACCTTTAGATTTACAGAAAATTTACAGAAATAATACAGAGTTTGCATCTACCCTTCACTCAACTTCCCCTGGTGTTAGTATCTTACATAACTACAGTGCAATGACCACAGTTAAGAGATTAATGTTGGTACAATACTTCAGACTACAGACATTCTTTGAATTTCTTAAGTTTTTTTAAAGATTTTATTTTGGGGACACCTGGGTGACTCAGTTGGTTAAGCATCTGATGTTGGCTCAGGTCATGATCTTATGGTTTACCAGTTTGAGCCCTGTGTCCAATTCTGTGCTGACACCTCAGAGCCTGGACCTGCTTCAGATTCTGTGTCTGCCTCTCTCTCTGTCCCTCCTCCACTAGCACTCTGTCTCAAAAATAAATAAACATAAAAAAAATTTATTTTTAAGAATTCTCTACACTCAATGTGGGCCTTGAACTCAAAAGCCTGAGATTAAGAGTTACATGCGCCACTGACTGAGCCAGCCAGGTGCCCCAGTTTTATTTTGTTTTACACTAATGTCATTTTTCTGTTCCAGGATCCCACATTGCATTTAGGTGTTGTGTCAGTTTCCTTCGTTCTGTGACAGTTCTTCAGTCTTTGTTCCTTCATGATCATGACATTTTAAAAGAGCACTGTGATTTTGTTAGTATTTTGTTGAATATCTCTCAATTGGTGTTTGTGTCCGGTTTCTTAGGATTCGATTAAAATCCTGGCTTTGTGGAAAGAATATCATGTGATGTGCCCTTCTCTCTCAGTGTATCCTATTAGGGGTACCTGGTGATGACAGCACTTATTACTGGTGATGTCAGTCCTGACTGCTAGCTTAAGATGGCTTCTATCTGGTTACTCCTTCGCTTTGTAATAGGTATCTTGGGAGAGATACTTTAAATCTATGCAAATATGCTGCTGCTTAAACTTGCACTCACTGTTTAACCACCTAGTGGTGGACCTTGCCTATACAGTTGTATGTATGATAGTCTATTGGTGATTTTCTACTTCCCTCATTCCCATCACATTTATTAATTGAAGTTTTTCTGTAAGGCAGACCTGTCCCTCTTCCCTCCTTATTTATTTATTCAGTTATATATTTTTATCAATATGGTCTCATAAGTATTTATTTTATTCTGTGGATTATAATTTAGTAGAGCATTATTGGTTTTGTTGCTCAAAATGGTCTAGTTTCGGTATTGGCATATCTTTTAGTTTGCCTCCTATGCCGTTTGGACATGTTCCTTTTTTTTTTTTTTTAAGTTTATTTATTTTGAGGGGCAGAAAGGGAGGAAGAGAGAATCCCAAGCAGGCTCCACACCGACAGTGCATCTTGAATCTGTGAGATCATGACCTGACCCGAAATCAAGAGTTGGACCCTTAGACGACTGAGTCACCTAGGTGCCCCTCAGTAATGATACTTTTGATTCTAATGCAACTTCACAGAGCTTATTCAGCCTTCTCCCTTTATTATTTTTAACTTTTAAAATCTTATTATCTACGATCTATTTACTTAATTTGTTCAACCATAACATACACATGAAGTTATACTACTGCATTTAAAAAATGTAGAATTTCTTATAAAATTAGCATATTAAATTCTTAAATTTTTTCAATGTTTATTTAATTTTGAGAGAGAGAGAGTACAAGCAGGAGAGGGGTAGAGAGAGAGAGAGAGGGAAACACAGAATCTGAAGCAGGCTCCAGGCTCTGAGCTATTAGCACAGAGGCTGAGGTGGGGTTCAAATCCACCAGCCACAGGATCATGACCTGAGCTGTAGTTGGACACTTAACTGACTGAGCCACCCAGGTGCCCCCAGCATATTAAATTCTTGTTAGTAGTTTATATTATTGCTTTTTTTCTCAAGGCAGCTAGGGATATAAATTACTGAAAAAATTAGGGCTTTAATGGGTATAGGCACAAGACATTGATACATTTTAACTTTTAAGTATTTAAAAAATATTTCTAAAGGGATACCTGGGTGGCTCAGGCATCTGACTGTTGATTTCAGCTCAGGTCATGGTCTCATAGCTCACGAATTCGAGCCCTGCATAGGGCTCTGTGCTAACAGTGCAGAGCCTGTTTGGGATTTTCTGTCTCTTACTCACTGTCTCTCTGCCCTTCCCATGCAGTCTCTCTCTTTCAAAGTAAATAAATAAACTTAAAAAAATATTTTTAAAGCAATACCAGTTTGCTGTAGAGAAATTAGAAAAGTGAGTTTAGGAAAAAAGAGACCACCCAGACAAAACCAAAGTTAATGTTCGGATGTATATCTTTCTAGTTTTTCTATCTATATATCCATGTATAATAAACACATGTTTTAGTATTAAAAATAGAAAACCACAGAATACTGTTTTATAATTTGCTTTTTCTGCTTAACTATATATTATTAACATCATTTTCTGATATCATATTTAAAGCATGGCTCAGGAGATGTTTGTTGAGTATTTAGTTATATATTAGACACTATACAAGGATAAGTACCAGGACAGTAGCGAACATATTTAATGGTTCCATTGTGTTCAGTTATATGGGTGTATCACATTTAATTTAACCAATATCCTATTGTAGTTTTGAGGGTTTTTTTTTGTTTTGTTTTTTTGTGAAGTAAACTATGCCCAACATGGGGCTCAAACTCATGATGCTGAGGTCAGGAGTCACATGTTTTACTAACTGAACTAGCCAGGCACCCCTTGAGTTGTTTTTAATTTAAAAAAATTATGAATAGTGCTGTAGTCACTATCCTTGTAGCTAAATCACTGGAACATCATTATTTCCTAAATTATTCCTGGCCTTTTTTCCTAATTTTTAAAAAAATTTATTTATTTATTTTGAGAGAGAGAGAGAGAGAGTATGAGCAGGGGAGGGGTGGAGAGAGTGAGAATCCCAAGCAGGCTCTGTGCTATCAGTGCAGAGCCTGATGCGGAGCTTGAATTCACAAACTGTTAGACATACCTGAGCCGAAACCAAGAGTTGGATGCTTAACTGACTGAGCCACCCAGGTGTGCCTGGCCTTTTAATATTCAAGGCTGATCTCCCTCCATCTCTCTTTTTTTTAAGTTTATATATTTATTTTGAGAGAGAGAGAACATGAGTGGGGGAGGAGCAGAGAGATTGGGAGAGGGAGAATCCTAAGCAGGCTCCTTGCAGTGTGGGCTGGAATTTACCATGAGGTCATGACCTGAGCTGAGATCATGAGTCAGATATTTCATCTTAACTGACTGAGCCACCCAAGTGTCCCAAGGCTGATGATATCTTGGTATATGTGGAGTAAGAATGTGAATATCTTGAATTCTGCTGATGAGGAGATCCATGGTTTTTGGATTAGTGTATGAGGAAGTTGCTATTTTAGTTTGGATATTGAAAAATGAGAGTTTTTTTGTAAAGTTTATTTTGAGAGGGTCGGGGGAAAGAGGTTCAGAGAGAGAGAGAGAAAGAGAGAGATTGAGAGAGAAAATCTCAAGCAGGCTCTGCATTTTCAGCGCAGAGCCTAATGCAGGGCTGGATCTCATGAAGCATGAGATCATGACCTGAGAGAGATCAAAAGTCTGACACTTAATCAACTGATCCAACCAAGCACCCTGAAAAATAAGACTTTTATTCGTCCTTGGTAAGTCATAGCCATCCCTTCGGGAAGACCCCCAATTTTCTTTAAATAAGAGCTTTATATTTATGTATCTGAACAAGTAAGTGATTAAGCTTCTGAAGTTCTGTATTAAGAACATGGCAGAGATCATTTTA